AAGGGAACATTCTCTTTTTAAAACTGAATTAACTAAATTTATTTGTAGTAGTATATTCTAAGCATCTGGAATACTGAGTTAAATGACATTTTTGTACACATTTATAACATACTCCCCCCCCCACCCCGTTGCCCTTCTTTCTGCCTTCCCTGTACTCCATCCCCGTCTCCCTTCTCTTGTCTAAGGGAAAGGAGCACGCCCTGCCCTTCCACCCCTACTCTCAGCATTCTTTCCCTGGGGACACAGTCATCAGGTGTCACCTTAGAAGCAGAAGACAGCTCTCCAGAGACGCCAGTCCTACTGGTGCCTTGATGCTGGGATTCCCAGCCTCTGGAGCTGGGAGAGATGAATTTGTGTGCTTTATAATAGGACCAGCCTCAAGTATTTTGGTACCAAGGCATTCGATGGACATTAGTTCCCATTCTACCCTTTCTCCCCACAAACCAGATTCTTCTTACCTAACAACTATACATGCAAACATACAAAATGTCATGGGATCAGAAAATCTGTCCTGTCCTGGACTTTTTGATGGTGACATGTCCACAGATCCTTATGGTTTTAAAGAATGAATATTTTGCCAGTAAAGAGCGCTTGCAAGTTAAATCAAATCTGTAACTATCATCTGAAGAGCTAAATGTATAGTTATAAGCTTACAGTAGATAGTGTAAAGGCACCTTTTCAGATACATTTGGAGAGAAAACAAAGAGGCAGAAGGCAATAATTTGACAGTGGAGGAAACATTGCTTTAAAGGAAAACAGTAGATGGCAGCACCAGATGCTAGCAACATGGGTGAGGTTTCCATAATCCTGAGTGCTGGGGAGGCCAGAAGTTTTAAAAACTACATTCTGAGAGACATCATTGGTAAAAAGATAGTGCCTTTTAGTAAAAAAAAAAAAAAACCTTATTTTGTAATATGGGAGAGGATGTTTGGGGACAGTGTTTTTATGCATTACCAGCAAAATTCTAACAAAATAACTTTAAGCATTGCCTGATAAACAGTGATTACACAAAAGCTCTGTTTTGGTTTATAGTTACATTTATTTAACACTGTCAACTTGTGTCCCAATTAGCCTGAAAGGATCTAAAGTTAAAGAATAAATTATTATTGACTTCTAGAAAAGGGATAGATATGAAATATAATTATTAAAATTTATTTGTTCACTTTCAAATAAGGAACAACAATAATGAGATCTATTGTTATATTCCACAGTATAGCCTAGAAAATAGTTTATTAAATAAGCATCGATGTTCTTGTTAACTAGATAAAGTAGTAAAATTTAAAGCGATAATCTACAGTTTTCTGTATTCTGCATCAGCATTTCACCTGGCACTAACACTACATTTTCAGACTTGCTAAACTCAGTATTGTTCATCTGGGATTTTCTTCTTTCAGAGGAAGGAGTGGCCACACCATGCTGCTCAGTACACCACGTGAGTGAGCAGTGTCCCAGGAAAGTCACACCCTTCTAAGGGCACACTGGGCTTCTGGGCCTCTTAACCATTGCTCTTGTCTTTCACAAGTTTCTTGTGAGAGCTGAAAGATAAGCTAGGCCTATATTTTAGATGCCAAGCAATGGGAATATTGGAACTGATACAGTGGTCACAGGGTAAAAGCAATGCCCACTGAGATCTTGCAGGAGAGCTCATCTTATCTGCCTTAGTGTTTAGATTTGATTGAAGGATAATGAAAGTATCTGTGTCATAAGAGAATTAAGTCATTGTCTGCTGGAGAAATATTCTGAGCAAAGGGCAAGCACTCTGTTAGTAGAACAGTCATTGTCACCTGACTAAACTGTTTTTCAAGTGCTACACTTATTATTTGGAAAGTGTTTCCTTTACTTGAATTCAGTTTGAGTCTCCGGGAAATGGAAGATGCTGAATCTACTACAAACTTTTCTTTTTTTAATCAGTACCAGGGATCAAACTCATGACTGCACACTTGCAAGGAAGGTGCTTATCCCGATAGCTGATTGTAATCTGAAGTCAGATCAAGAGTTCTAAAGGAAAACTGTTCGGACAAGAGAAGAAATGAATCAGACATTGTAACAGCAGAGCTGTCAAAAGGAATGCACCACCTCGAGCCAAAAGTCAGCCGCTGTGGGCACACACGATGCTGAATGTAGTAATGTAACATAGGGCAGCATTCTTCATCGAAAGCCAATGCACCACCATACTACAATCTAAAACGTACATGGTATGAAGAAGGAAAAACTTTAAAGAACAAAAAGGATACTATGAAGAGAGAGATTTCTGCTAAAAACAGTGGAATGGGAAATAACTTCTCTAGGTCAATGATTTTTTGAAGCCTAGGACTGTTGGGAGCCGCGGCCGAGCCTGGTCGCCTTACTTGGCGGACGTGAGGCCTGTAAGAAAGAGCAAAGCCTGAGCTAGATTACCCCTCCCATCGAGTGTGCTAAGATGGCGCTTATCTCCTGCTTCCTGCTTGGTAAACAACCTGCTCTGTAAGGTAGTCTGCCTAGCAACAACTGATGTTAGCCAATCAGCCCGCATCGCGCGCTTTGAACTGATTGGCCACTGTAACCCTATAAAAGTGAGTGCCTCTCCCGCCACGAGAAAAGAAGCACGGAAGGAGCCGCGGAGAGCGGACCGGTAGAGGCTTTGGGACAGACTGTAGAGAAGAAGCACGGAAGGAGCCGCGGAGAGCGGACCGGTAGAGGCTTCGGGACAGACTGTAGAGAAGAAGCACGGAAGGAGCCGCGGAGAGCGGACCGGTAGAGGCTTCGGGACAGACTGTAGAGAGAGAAGCACGGAAGGAGCCGCGGAGAGCGGACCGGTAGAGGCTTCGGGACAGACTGTAGAGAGAGAAGCACGGAAGGAGCCGCGGAGAGCGGACCGGTAGAGGCTTCGGGGCAGACTGTACAAGGAGAGAATAAAGAAAAGCCTGACCACCGCCAGATATTGTTGCGTGTTCTTCCTGCCGGCCGGGAGCGACACCGACATAGGACTTTCTTCCATTTTAATTAATCATTTGTGTTTTACATCTGGCAATGAAGAGTTTTCATCTGGCAATCTGGCCACACACTGAATGACTTCCCATATCCTCCACTGACGCCTCCCTGGTCCCCAAAGCAGCCAGCGCCCCTCTGACAGTGTAAGTGCCAGCTGCCCCGTGACACAGAGGTGTTCAGGCCTGAGAGCAACACTTGGGTGCTCTCTGCCATAACCTTGGTTTCCAGGGACCCCTGGCTCTCATCTGCATGCTTGATCACTGAGGGGCCTCTGCAGCCTTTTGCTTCTGACATCTTTTCCTCCAGATGACTGGGTGAGTCAGAAAGGTGTCGCCTTGTGATGCCGTGGACTGGGCCAGGCTCTAAGCAGTCGTGACTGAGTGGGAACAAGATGTGCTCACCCCATTGGCTCCAGACTTGGAGCACAAAGTATGTTACAACAACAAGCACAAGAATCCTGACCACACCGCTCCCTATCTCTAGATCTCTAATGAGAACATTTGGGTAAATGTACACAATCAAAAAAACAGGATTTTTAACTTAGAATGCTAAGGGAGGTTCTGATTTATGGCCCTGGGACACAGATCTTTTTACTCTTGATTCCAGACCCCACACATTTTGGAGCAAAAGCAGCAGCCAGAAGATGGGAAAAACAGATCATATTTATGAGACCAACTTGAAGCCCATGCCACACTTAGAGTTTGGGTTTTCATTAGGCAAAGAAACCAGCCATTTTTTAGTTCAATGTTCATAGGAAAACTTGCCCAGCATCTGTTAGTCTGATTCCTCAGTTTTAGAATCATTGTCTTGGAATCTCCTAAACCAGAAAATCTACAATCATTTCACTTAAACATGCAACTTAGGAACAATGACTAGACAGTATCCAAACAAATAAAATAAGAAGGTTAAAAAAATTGAAGATAAAAGATGTCTTCCCGTCCCTCTAGATTAATATTTTACAACAGCTTGAATAACTTTTGTTCCACTAAGACTATTTAAAAACTCATTAGCACCTGAAGACTTTAGAACCCCTTGGTACTGAAAGCCTGTGATTTAGAGAGTGCAAGCATGTTGGGCATTTATTTACGTAGTCGGGCATAAGAGGGAGTCTGACTCTCTCCTATTTTTTGCCTTTGGATATTTTATAAGGTGACACAGGAAAGTACATCCACTTCCTGGCTTAAGCACAGGACAGAGAGCATGGATTACACCCTTTCTTGTGGGTAGCCACCCTCAAAAGCACGCCCACTCAATTGTAGTTGTTGGTGAGCCTAAGAACCAAGTAATTTCATGATTCAGGTTGGAGATATCTGGGACTGTGCTTGTTTAGAATAACCCATGTTGGGGGTCAGGATCCTGTGATCTGTCCACTCGGTGTTTGCAGCAGCTATAGGATTGCGTACCTCCAAGAACCAGGAACATATGTCCAGCTGTTTCTGTTCCTGTATTGGGTCGTATTCTACTTACAATCATGTGTTTTAAAATAAAAAGTGTGCTGTATTTGCAGAGCATGCGTATTTCTGAAAGTCTGAATGTGCTCCAATGTTTAATTATTGCTAAAGTCATTTGAGGTTTTTGACACAGATTCTATTTTAGTAAGATAAACTCAGGGTAATCTGACATTGCCAGAAACGAATTCCTAAGGTAGATGACTAAAATAAACCAACAATAAATATTGGCTGTTGGAATGAGAATTACATTTCTGTAATGTAGACAAAGCATCAATGACTCATTTTCAAATAATCTCTCCCAGGGGTTATTGTTATGAGGGGTCAGTGAAGAAAGAAGTTCATCTCTTTTCAGGCAACAGAATTGAAGAAGAATATGAACCCATCAGGCAAGGATGTTCTAAAACTTACTCTGCCAAAAGAGATATAGACTCTGGCATTCCCCAGAGGCCGACATGCTGCACTGAGGCAGAAAGGAGATGTCCCATGGGAGTCATGGATTCTAAGCACGGTTTTCTCATTGTCCCAGAGGCACAATGTGCCCCCGGGAACAGCTAGTGCATCTTATAGAGCATGGATTACCTTATCAGGGACACTGGGTGCTGCCGTGTTCTTCTGCTCCCTGGAATTGGTGGGAGCACTTAGGTCTCCTTTGCTTCTCAAGGTCAAATTCTGAACTTTTGGTACAGTAGGTTGAGCTTTACAACTCCTCTGGTGTTCCAGAAGGCCATCAAGGCTATTGGGGGCAAAGGTCTGGCTATGGTTTGTGCAGGGCACATGCTGGGCTTGACTCGAGCCCTCCTGGCTAGACTGCTCAGTTGCAAGGGTCTCAGGCTTCTGTGGGAGTGGCTGGCGGTGCTCCCTAGGGAGCCTGTCATTTTCCATTTTCCACTTTTCCAGGCATTTGGGCTCGTGACTAGGAAGGGACAGGGTGCCAAATTCCCTCCCACAAATGTAGCAGATGACAGTCCTTGGTCTGGCTGGGACACCACTTGAAGTTTTCCTGAAGCCAGAAAGATCGTCAGAACTGTTGAGGTTTTCTGTTCTGGGATCCTCACCCTTTGCCCTGCAGTTTCTCTGGTGAACAAGGAGATGATCTGGCAAGAATGTGCGGCCACAGGACTCACAGGACACCAGCGGAGCCTGGGCGCTCTGAAATGCTGCCTCATTTGTTGCCTGAAGTCCATAGGCCCCACTGCCACCACCAGGCTGTGGTCTGGAGGGTTCTGGCCTCCTGAGGTGCTTGGGTAACTTGCTGTTTTCAATATGCCACTTCTCCAAGCACTGGGGCTCATGAATGGCAAGTGACTGTGACCCAAATTCTCGTCCACAGATGTAGCACACATGGAATGCAGGCCTGCGGGACAGTATTACAGGGGGGCGAGGCTGGCCTTCGGACATGGTTTTCCTTGACTGTTTTGAAAGTATCACTGTTCCAGGTCTATTTGGCTGAGCCCTTGTCTGGATTTTTTCACCAGGGCTGATACACTCTACTTTTGGCAAAAGGTTACAGTGGGAGTCACTGGACAGCACAGCTTGGTTGATCAGGAAGGTAGACTCTTTAGAGTGGTAGAACATTGGTTGCAGTTTGTTGGAAATCCTTTTCTCCTTTCCTCTTTCCATTAACACAGAAGGTTTTCTCTCGTGCCTGGTCTAATTTCAGACCAGACTTATTCTGGGATCCTGATTAGAGTGAAGGGTAGTGAGGTTCCATGGTCTGCCAGGACCTTAGTCCCAGAACTGTGACTTAAGGCTTCACTGCAAGGCAGCAGCCCGAAAGATCGGCAAGCGCTCACTGAACCTCAGTTGTCTCCAAGATCTGTGGAGTGAAGCAGGGAAATAAATCAAAAAGTTATTACACACACATACTCCTTAGATCATCACTTGATAAAGGGCGTATTTTTTCTGACCTGACCTTGTACTCTCTGTGGCTTGCATAACAATCAGCACATGTTCAACAAACATTAAAATAAATGTGAAAAATATTTTTATTTATGAATTGTACTGTTGCTGTACTGAAAGCAGTGCTCTCCCTGAAGGCTAACAAAGCCAGTACATCCCTGAGCTAGAGGAAAATAACAGGATTTTGAACCCAGGGTGGTGAGAATGGAGGAGAGAGATTGGGAACTGGGAAAAGTGTGTTGATGAAATTAACAAATCATGCAAAAAATACCTCCTGGGCCTCACAGGGAATTCCTGTCTCAAGGATCCCTGTGACAGTTCTGAAAGCCTGTGGACTTCTTAGGATGTTTTTGAAAAACAAACAAAGCAAAAAAAAAAAAAAAAACCCACAAAGTTTTTGCTAGTATTAGTGATACCAATTTTGTTGAAATTTGCTAAGTGAAGAAACTTGGTGGGATATTTGTCTATCTTCCATGGAATGAAGGTGCATTTTTGGTGTCAGATTCACTTTCTTATTTTCAATATATATATCTTCAAAATATTTTTCATAAAAATTGGCCATTCTTTTTCTTGAACCAACCAGAAGAAAGGATTGGTAAGATGAAAAAGAAAGTGTTATGGGCAGAAGCCTAAGTAACTTTCACTACAGGAAAAGCCATGAGTAAATGTAGCAGGGGCTGACAGTCCAGACCCAAGGAAGGTGGTTGTCAGAAACCGCAACACCCTGTTCGTTTCCCAGATGACTTAGAGATCTCCTGCAGGCATGTCCAGCCTGGACAGCTATGGTAGCAATGTGGTCTTACACAGTCTTAATCTTTCAACATTTTCATGCACTATTTTAGTGATATTTTTCTCAAATCCATTGCCTAGTGCTGGAGTTCAGGCTGTTCACATAATAGAAAGCTGCACAGGGAGGGTGTGGTGCGATGCTTACTCTACACCTATACCCACCACAGAGCATTCAGCTGAAAGCTGCATGATTCATAAAGCACACCCTCTTGTTCAATTTAGTCAGTAAAATTTCATCATGATATTTGTATTTCAATCTAACCATGGTATGCCTGTGAAAACAGGTGCTTATTTTCATTGAGCAGTCATGTAAGCATTCTTAATTTATATGCGGTCCAAGATAATTTTTCTTCACTTATTGCAGCCCAGGTCAGCCAAAAGGGAGGATACTTTTACTAAAGCACCCTTAGGATCACAGCAGGAACTGTATCTGAAGGGAGACCAAGCTCTGTACACCTTACAGACACAGGAACTCAGACAAGCAAGCACTGCAGTGCTGGGAACCCACAAACGAGACGCTGAGATCAAAGCTCTGTGCCTAGATCTTAGTGCCAACAAAAGTCCAAATCTTTGCAGTATCAGATCAGGTCTGGCACAGGGAAGAAAGTTATTCTTCATTTTGACACATCCTAAGACAGTGATATTAACACATGTGGCAAAAGAATGTGTTGGCCTCAAACAGTGGCCAACAAAGAGAGCGAAACTCAGAAAAATTTATCACTGGATTTTACCCTCCAGAAGAGAAAATGAATCTGGGCAATATAAGACATAGGATCAACTTTTCGTTAGGTTTTATCAGCACACGGATGACATAGCTCCCAAAACCACCCAGTTTCATCACTCTGGTTTCTGGTTCACCAAGGCCCTTTTGATTTGGTTTCACATTTCCCCTGATACTAGAAAGTTACAAATACTAAAAGTACCAAAAAATACAGGTTAAAATAATCAATGCAATCCAGTGTTCCTCCTTCCCCTAAACTCTGTCTTTCAGAAGCACACACATAGACACAGTGAATTCAGTTCCCAGCTTAGAATAATGAGAAACCCGATGACTGGTGCCAACAACTCCTCCATGTCCTGCCTAACGAGGTAAGATGGTAAAATTTATGTGTCATATACTGCACTCAATTTTTATTTGCATAAGTTCAGTTAATTCTCAAAGTACATTGAAGCAGGTATTACTATTTCAATTTTATAAACAAACTATGACTCAGAAAAGTAAGTTGCCCAAGACACTTTCTAAATGACAGAACTGGAACCAATTCCAGTTCTCCTTGGCTCCAATATGTGGTTCTTTCCATTATTCATTCTGCTTAAATTCCACAGCAGGGCTTCTCCTCTCTACTTTGTAAACCTGTTTTAATGTACTATTCATATGCCTCCTGGGAAGGTGCTGAGTTCTCATCAGCCTTTGTACTGCCTCCTTCTAGGAGAAGCCAGAGGCAGAGGGAGGAGACGGCTGGCAGATGGATGGAAAAAGCAGAGGGAGGACTGGGGCTTCATGAAGACCAAATCCTTTCCGAAGAAATGGCTTGCATTTTGCTACATATGTGGTTTTCTAGGTGAAATTGTTTTCCTCAGTGAAGTGGAGGATGAATCCTTTTACTGATCTCACAAACATTTTGAGAACAGTGCACAAAAGCAGTCATGGGTGAGGATGAGAGGTGGAGCAGGGCAGGTCAGTAATGATGTGTCCAGTCTTTCTCAACAGTGGACACAGGGAGAGTGAAGGCTGCCTGAATAGGCCCGGCAGGGCTCCGTGTGAGACTCTGCCTCATTTTCATCAGGGCTGGAGTATGCTCAGGGCCTGTGCGTTGAAACACTCTCTGCAGCAAACATGACAGAACATTTTGAAATTCCATTCGAGTCGTCTTTTCTTTTTCTACTATCCCTTTCCTCCTGAAATTTCTTTCTTATAATATAAAGAATTGAAGAAAAAAGGTGAGGTAGCTGGAAGTGAGCAAAAGTTTTGGCAGTTGATAAGTGGGATGGAGAAATGTATGCTGATTCTGCCCGTGATTTTGCTCAGGCAATGCATCACGGTGAAGCATGTTCAGTTGCTCTGCTCTGTAAATTTGTTCTGAAGTAAAAGTACAGAAAAACCCTAACTATATATACTTAAAACACGTAAGAAATTGGCCTGTCAGCCAGACACATCATAAAGCAATGTTACTAGTTTACAGAGAACTACTTTACAAAGCCAGCCAACTTCATTCCAAGCATCTGTGGAGAAATGTTCATTCATTTGGCCTGAATGCTTTATTTTGACCATATTTGCACACTGGACATTTAAAGAATGTCTTGGAAGGCTCACACTTTATCAGTATGATGCTTCCTTCCATTCTCTTTGGGGTTCATGGGAAGGGAGCAACAAAGTTATGAAGATGAATGCAATAGCCTTGTAAATCCAAAGCCCATTTTGGCATTAGAAGAATGTCTTCTTTAAAAAGAGAGAGGAAAGAATATGTGATTAAACTTTTAAGAAATATTTGAGGTCTTCAAAATAAAATAAATACAATGGGTACATGACATTGCCTCTCTTTTGTTAGTGTAGAATCCAAACTCTTTAAATATAAGTTAGAAAAAGTTGAGGTAAGTGCTGAGCCTGAACAGAATTCTAAAATAAAAGTGGTCTCTTTTCAGTATTCTCTGTTCACTCCAGCCTGACATCCTCATATACTTTCTGGTCCTTCTTGCCTATGAAATCTTGCTTTCAGAAAGGAGATGATGGACTCATTCAGCCCCAGGTTTGTGACTAATGACTCCCTCCCAGAGCCTGGCAGAGATAATTTCCTACTGAAGATCATTCTGCTCAACTTCCTCAAATTAACACAGCTCTAATCCTTAGCCGGGCATGTGTTTCCCAAATGAACTCTGCCAGTTCCTTTGTAGCTAGTGAGATTTGTAAATTGTTCTTGAAAAGTGGGGACACAACCAGCTTCTCTTCTCTTTCTTCACTTGACTCTCAGAGCATGGAGCAGAGACACCATCTTAGACCAGATTACAGCCACGTAACCCTGCCAGGACAGGGCAGAGACCTGGATGGACTTGGGGTCCTGACAAATGTGAGCATCACCGTGAGCTCTAGAGTGCCTCAGATTTTATTCACATAAAATAAATGTCTATTTGTATTTCATTTGTTTTTTAGAGGCCACTTACATGAAAACTCAACAGTAGTTGACATTAATTGATATTGTAATAATGCTCCTTGTTTTAGCACAAAAAATTGTAACAGTAATATTTCAAATGTCAAGACCTCCTTTTCTTAAAGATAAGTGGGTTTTTGCTGTGCCATTACAGTTTTTATAAAGAGGAAAAATTCAAAACAATGTAGGAGAGCAGCAATAATTAACACATTGTTGTCATCAATGTAGTTACTCAAAGTACAAAATACAGGCATGAAATATTGTCTGAACAATGTTAGCACAAACCTTTCTTTTCAATGAGCTAAAAGATACAAATAGTATAACCATCTTAACTGTCTTGTGTATTTATTTATTTTCTCCCTTCCTCCCTTCCTTTCCTTCCTTCCCCTTTTACCCCTTTGTAGTTGCTCTTTTCTTTTGAACAGTTTCTTCCAATTTCATAATACCTGTTATATACTCTGGATCTTATTTACTCACTCAGATTCTCACACTACAGATGCAATATGATGTTTATACACATGCATCTGATTTACTTCACTTGTGAGTATCTTACACACTATATGTTGTGTTCATTTAGCTATAAAAGTCCCCAGTTTATTCTTCTTTATGATCGTAGTACTCCATTGTATAAAAAGACCACATCTTTTTTATCCATTCCTTGGTTGATGGACATGTGGGTTTTTTCTAAGCTCTAGCTATTACATATTGTGCTGCTATAAACATGAGTGCACATATATTGGTATGGTAGAATATTTTTAATCCTTTTGGGAAAATACTCAGGAGGGGAATAACTGGATCAAGTAGAACCTCTTGTCCTAGTTTTTTGAGGAATTTCCAGTGACTTCCACAGTGCTTACACCAGTCAATATTCCTACCAGCAACAGAGAAGAGTCCCCCACAGGGCTGCCAGGTCTGTTATTGGCGGTAGCCGTTTCTTCTGGAGGGAGATGGAATCTCAGTGTTGTTTTAATTTGCACTTCTCAGATGACCATTTGAGGTTAAGCATTTTTTCATATATGTAATTGTCATTTGTATTTGTTTATCTGAAAAGTGTGTATTCATGTCAGATGCCTATTTTTGTTTTGTCTTTTTTTTTTTTTTTTAATCGGTACCGGGTATCAAACTCAAGACCACACACTTGGAAGGCAGGCGCTTATGCCACTGAGCTAAATCCCAGCCCCAAGATGCCTATTTTTTGATTGAGTCTTTAAATTTGGAGTGCAAATAAGTGTGTCTTTTTTTTTTTTTAGTTTTTTGGAGCAAAAGTATCTTAAATATATTGTACATATATACTTTTCCCTAAAAATGAGAAACAAAACATTTGAAACTATAAATAATGAACCAATGGTTCTTAAAGAATTGAGTTACACCAGTTGTCTTCCTAGAGATATTTTTCAAAAAATATTTAATGATATCAATTAGTGATTTCTTACTGTTTATTTTTTTTAATTCTGTATTATTTTTACCCTTTTTTCTGGTTTGTTTTTCTTGTTAAATAAAATTTTAAAATGCAAAAAAATATTTAATATTTTTCTTTAAGAAAATAAAAATATTTTTTTCCCCTTGAACTGATAGAGGACACTGTTGTGCCAGTCATTAACTCCAGTGTAGAGACTCCCACCTCCCTAGGCGCTGAACTTTGGATCCTTCAGTGAAGCTCCACACAGCTCCTGGCCCTGCCATACCATTACTGGACGCAGGGTGTGAGTCAGGGGAGCAGGGACTCACTTCCGGTGAAGACTTCCTGCCTATGTGGGGGTGCCCTGAGCAGCTCTAGGGGCCCTCTGTATCCCTACAACAGCTGCTCTTCACTGTAGCAGCAACTGAATCCCCCTTGCAGCTTTTCCAGCATTTTTAAAAGCAAAGTCACGTGCCTTCTGCCATAGCATCATCCCTGGCCCATCTGAGTTTTTTAAGATCTGGCCTTCAGATCTGATTTTCAACTCTACCTGCACCTCTTCTGAGTTTTACTAATTTAAGCCTCTTGCCTTTAATCCTTCAGCCCAAGCAGATGAGAGCTATCATCTCCATTTAGTGGGGGTTTTTTTTACCCTGTTAATTATTAAGGTAACAACTTCATTCTTACTCCATAGTACCTTCTATTAAATTCTCTTTGTTTAAATAACTGGTATGGGTTCTGTCTCTTGACAGATAAAATTGCATTCAGAATTAAGTCATAAAAATCTGTATATTCAAGCTGCATACTATTTTACTATTGCAATAAATATATAAGGGATTTTCGAAAATAAGATACTTACCTTAATGTTCAGAATTCACTGAGATGATAAAAAAACATATTTTTGTAATGTTTATACCATCACCATACTTACAGAGCTGGAAAATATTGTTCTTCCATTTGTCACTTACTGAACTAAATCATAAGGGGAAATTTGTCATTTTAAGCATACAGCTATTGTCCCTAATTTTATATGAAACTCGTTCTCTGCTGATTACTCAACCACAAGTCACTGCGGTAAAAAGAAGAACAAAACTCCGGGATCCTGCTCCGAGACCAACTGTGTGCCGCAGGGCTGGGGAGATCGTGCCGTTCACACCAGCTGGTTGTCTGCACTAATTTCTGGGTAGTATCAGGCCCCTGGTGCCTGATTGCCTCAGCTCAACTGATGTGAGCGGACAAAAGGCCATGTGAGAACAAAAGTAGACATGCGGACCTCTGCGCTAGGACAGGAAACACTGGGATAAAGCCGTGTGACAACCGCCCTTCGATGCTTTGACAGCAAACTTACGTTGGAGAAAAGACAAGTCTACCAAATGGCGCTTGGAAAGCTGCTGTGAGAAAGAGTGGGCACAGTGTTTGAAAGGTAAAAATAGAAACACTTTCAGAAAAGCCATTTAGCCCGAGGCATGGCTCTGAGGGAATATTGGCATTCCCAGACTCACTTTAAATAGCTAATAAAAATTTCCCTTTGTTTTTCTCTCCTTCACAGTAAAAACATTTCAGACCAAGAAAAGTTGTTTCATTCAATCTAGCTATCAAATGTGGACATAACAGTCATGATGTTAGGAAAGCCATGGAAACAAACGAACAAAATACTTCTAAGTAGAGCCTTCTGGAAGGACACTTTCTGTCATTGAGAGTCATAATACCATCCTATGAAAGCTATGTTAGATCAGGCCTGTACTTTTCATTCTATTTTGAGTATTCAAATCACAGAGTTTCCAAGAGTCATGCATGCCACACAGGTGTGGCCATGTAACTGGTATGTTGACATTTGGAGTGGCAGAGAACTGGTTATGGAAACCATCAATACAATCACATTAAAGGCCTATAATGTATAGAGTTTCAAAGATTAGAGAGAAAAAAGATGTAGGGTGGAGGAGTACGTGAAAACAGGCTGTTGAGTAAAAAGTGTTAAAGGAATTTACATACCACATTTTTTCGTATTCAGGATAACTCTATCCAAGTTATTGGCCCATAGGCCAAAGATGGCCCATAAAATACATTCTTTATGGTCTGAAAGGGTTAAAAAAAAGTTTGCATTAGTTGCCCTTATTTTAAAATTGAAAGAAGTCACATAATATATGGATTTTTGGTGACATCCAACATAAGCTGATGCTATACCTAGAACAGACATGTATATCAATGGAACGAATAGACGATCCTGAGACAAGGCTGTGCGACCACAGCCATCTATTTTTACAGCAAAAATTTATGTTGGAGAAAAGACAGCCTCTTTAATAAATGGTGCTAAGAAAACTGGCTTTCCACATGCAGAACACCGAAACTAGATTCCTATCTCTTACCTTGCAATCAAATCAAGTCCAAATGAATCAGGGATCTAGATATAAGGCTGGAAACTGAAACTGCACTTTGAACCTACAGGCACAGGTGAAGAGTTCCTGACTAGGACTCCAATTATACAGGAAATAATATCAAGAATCAACAAAGGGACTACTTCAAATTAAAATCTTAATCACAGCAAAAGTAACAACCAATGGACTGGAGACAACCTAGAGAATGGTCGAAAAATTTTGTTAGCTAATCTAATAGAGAACATCCAGAATATAGAGAGCTCAACAAATTAACACCAAAAACTACTCAATTAATAAGTGAGCAAGTAGGCATGTCTCTAAAGTAGTATTAATGGCTAATTGGCATAAAATATGAATTTGATATAGTTCCATTTGTTGATTCTTTTTTTTTTTTTTTTTTTTTTTGGTCTTTTTCATTTTTTATCGGTACCGGGGATCGAACTCACGACCGCCTGCTTGCAAGGCAGGTGCTTATGCCGCTGAGCTAAATCCCCAGCCCCCTGTTTGTTGATTCTTGATATTCTTTTTAGTTAAGGACCAAACAAAGCAGGTTCTTCAGGTTTCTAAAAACAAAACTGAAGAAAGAAAGCTTGGAGCTGCCTCTAAAGGCAAACTTTTAATGGAAAAACAAATTGCTCTGATTTACAAAATTCTAGCTTGTACTTAACTTTCTAAAACGATGTTGCTACATGAAGACTTATATATGCCTTTAAATACTGAAATTCTGTTTAGTTGCCCATATACGTTACATCCTACATTACTATGAGCCAACATATGTCTACATTTTTTGTTAAAATCTTGACAAATTCCTCAGGACTATTTTGCTATGTAATTTTTCTGGACGGAGTTTAAATAATAATGAAAAACTTTTTGGTGGAATCATCCTTAGGAATGGCAAATCAGTTCTTCATGTTTCTCTGTGATACAGGTTCAGTGCACTCAGCTCCTAATTTTGATTAACCTATTACATCGGAGGGAAAAGTCCAAGGTCAAAACAATTTTAAAATGCATTGATAAGACCTGAGAGTGGCTTGTAACAAAGAATCAAGAACCTACTTTGCAACTACACTTGCTACCATGAGCCTGCAATCCCAGGACTCTGAAAGCTGAAGCAGGAGAATTGCAGCAAGCTTGAGGCCCGCCTGAGTCATTCAGTGAAACCCTGTCTCAAACAGCAAAAACCCAGCCCCCATATAACTAGTCTCCTCTTCTGTCTTATTTCATAGAGTCCTCCTGTAGCCTCAGACCTAGACTGAAACCCTAGCTCCAATGCCTAATCGTTGCGAATTTTTTTGAGACCAGGTTTTATTACAAAATCTAGACTTTGAATTTGTTGTGTAGCTCAGGCTGGTCTTGAACTCATAATCCTCCTGCCTCATCCTCCTCAGTGCGGGAATCATAGGTGTGCACCACCAGGCCTGGCTAGTTGTGGGATCTGCAGTGAGATATTTAACCTGTCTGCTTAGTTTCTTTATGTTTAGTGGAATGTGTCACTTACCTAGTAGGATAATTGTGAAGATTATAAGTAAGATAAAATGTTTAGCACGCTGATAGGTGTTGAAATAATACTTGATAAGTATGCTTGTCTTCTCCTACATATTTTGATAGTGCTGGCACATCATGCTAGCAAATGTAACTAGTTTTTTTGAAGTTACTGTCCCTTATATTAAAATGTTCTAAAGAATTCAGATGTTTCCCAAAAAAAATCAATGAATCAAAGAGTTAGTAGGTTCTTTGAAAGAATAAATAAAATTAATAATCCTCTAGCCAACCTTATTAAAAAAGGGAAGAAAAGGCTCAAATTCATGCAATAGGAATGAAAAAGGTGAAATCACTACAGACTCGGTAGAAATACAGAAGATCATCAATATCTATTTTGAAAACTTCTACTTTCATAGGTTTGATAACACAGAAGAAATAGACAGATTCCTAGAAACATACGAAGTACCAAAGCTGGGCCAAGAAGATGTAAAATTGCTGAATAATCCAACTTCTATTAATGAAATTGAAAATGTAACGAAGTCCTTACCTACAAAGAAGAGCCCAGGCCCAGACGTATTCACTGCAGAATTCTACAAGAAACAAAGAAGACTTAATGCCAACAGTCCTTAAACTCTTCAATGAAATTGAAAGGGAAGCAATAATTCCTAAGTCATTCTGGAAGCAAATATAACTCTAGTACCAAAACCTGAGAAAGACCCAACTAAAAAAGAGAATTACAGACCAATCTCCCTAATGAACACAGATGCAAAAATCCTCAATAAAATATTGACAAATAGGATGCAGCAAATTATCAAGAAAATTATACACCATGACCAAGTGGGATTCATCCCAGGCATGCAAGGATGGTTCAACATAATGTAAATCAATAAATGTAACCCACCATATCAATAAAACCAAAAGTAAGAATCACATGATCATTTCTATAGATGCAGAAAAAGCTTTTGATAAGGTCCAACATTCATTTATGATAAGAGCCTTACAGAAAATTGGACTAGATGGTCTTTACCTCAATATAACAAAGGCCATCTATGACAAACCAACAGCCAGCATCAGACTAAATGGCCAAAAATTGAAGGCCTTTACTTTAAAATCAGGCACAAGACAAGGATGTCCCTTATCACCACTCCTATTTAATATAGTACTAGAAATACTAACCAGAGCAATTAGACAAGAGAGAGAAATAAAAGGGGTAAAGATAGGAAAAGAAGTTAAATTATCATTATTTCCAGATGACATGATACTTTACATAGAAGACTCCCAAAACTCCATTGAAAGATTCTTAGATATAATAAATAAATTCAGCAATGTAGTTGGATACAAAATCAATATTCAAAAGTCAATAGCATTTCTATACACTAACAACAAAATCACTGACAGAGAAATAAGAGAAATCACAGCCTTCACACTAGCAACCAAAAAAGTGAAATATTTAGGAATTACTCTCACGAAAGAAGTGAAAGACCTATACAGGGAAAATTATAATACACTGAAAAAACAAATTCAAGAGGATCTGAGAAGTGGAAAGACAGCCCTTGCTCATGGATAAGCAGAACAAACATTGTGAAAGTGGCTCTTCTCCCAAAACTGTTATACAGATTCAATTCAATCCCAATAAAAATACCATCAACATACCTCACAGATCTAGAGAAATCACTCCTAAAATTCATCTGGAGTGAGAAGAGATCTAGAATAGCAAAGACAGTTCTAAGCAACAAAGGCAAGTCAGGAGGTATCACAATCCCTGACTTAAAGCTATACTACAGAGCAATCATAGTAAAATCAACATGGTACTGGAATAAAAACAGATCCAAAGATCAATGGAATAGATTAGAAGATAATACTACAAACACACTCAACCACCTTATCTTTGATAAGGTGGCCAAACATGCTCACTGGAAGAACAGTCTCTTTAATAAATGGTGCTGGGAAACCTGGCTCTCTACATGCTGAAAACTAAAACTAGACCCATGCCTATCTCCATGTACTAAATTAAAATCTAAATGGATCAAAGATCTGATATTAAAACAGAAACACTAAATATATTGGAAGACAAGTTGGGTAAAAACCTTGAAGACATAGGGGTAGGTAGAGAATTCATGAACAGGAATCAAACTGCATGGGAAATACTTCCCAGAATCAATAACTGGGATCATCTTTTATTAAAAAGTTTCTGCATGTCAAAAGAAATCTCCAGCAAGGTGAAAAGAAAACCCACAAACTGGGAAAAAAATTTTAGTGAACTGTCCCTCAGACAATTCTGTCTAAAACATATAAAGAATTAAAAAAATCAGACCCCCAAAATTCAAAGATCCAATCCAAAAATGGGCATCTGAGATGAATACACAATTGTCAGATGAAATACAAATGCAAATAAATACATGAAAATATGTTCATTATCATTACTCATTAGAGAAATGCAAATTAAAATCACACTGAGATTCCATCTCACTCCTGAAAGAATGGCCAGGATCAAGAAAACCACCAACAACAAATGCTGGAGAGGCTGTGGGGAAAAAGGAACTCTCCTGCACCCTTGGTGGGAGTGTAGACTGGTGCAACCATTATGGAGGTCAGTCTGGAGATTTCTCAAAAAGCTGGGACTGGAAGCCCCATTTGACCCAGCTATTCCATTTCTAGGCATGTTCCCAGAAGAACTGAAAGCATCATACCACAGTGATATATGTGCACCCATGTTTATAGCAGCACAATTTGTAATAGCCAGATCTTGGAAACAATCTAAGTGTCCAACTGAGGAATGGATAAGAAAGTTGTGATATTTTTATACAATGGAGTAATACTCAGGTATAAAAGGATCACACTGAGATTTTTGTAATAAATGGGTGCAGCTTGAGACCATACTCATAAGTGAAACAAATCGAACTCACATATATAAATACTGAAATACTGCTTCTGATCTTCTACAAGGGGAAGTGAGATGGAGTGTCCTCTAGTTCTGCTCAGACTTCTAAAGTAACTCAAGCAAGAAATCTCTAAGAAGTCAGGACTGAATAATCAGTGTGAGTAATGCCTGACTGCTAAGTTTTCACTCAGTAGAAATAAAAGCAACTCAGTTCAGAAGTTCTTTTACTCCCCCAACCCCATCTTTCAAAACTTTCACGAGACATAACCTTTTAATCATTTTGGTATCTGGACTGGAGAACAAAGTTGGCTCTTTGACTAGGAATTCTCCTAAAACAG